TTGTAATGTCATTTTATAAAATTACCACTTTACAATAAGGCCCCCCTTATAGATGGCTCTTAAAGAGTTTATAGATAGGTTATTAAATAATCTGTAAACACTTTAAAAATTATTAATAAGTGTTTATTATGCAATAATTAAGGACGAGAAAGAGACAAAATTGTCAAGTTTTATTTATTAATGATTTATGAAGTGTAAACTTTACAAATGAATTAATTACCAGTCTATAAACTTTTTATAAGCCATCTAAAAGGGGAGCCTTAATGTAAACTGGTACCAAAAAATCTTGCACAGTAAATTCTCCTCACCAGTTTTTCATACATCTTACTGTACATAGATAAAATATTTTCAAACACACAACATGTGAGAAAATCCAGCCTCATTTGTCAGATGAAAGACTTTTTTTGCAGGATTGTTCACATTTTAAGAAGAGAAGACTTATGTAAGCTTGATTCGTTCTGGACTTTACTATTTGAYTCATTAGAGCCTCTAGTGTTTGAACATGGAACTGCATCCACCATTATCACCCCCAGGTAAAGGACAGATGAGTGACAGGACAGGGGCACTTCAGGRGGCCAATCAGATTTCAGCTGGGGCCGATGTCCCTGTGGCCCCGCCCCTAGAACCGCCCCTGGGGTTTGAAATATTCACCCGCCTCCTCAAACACAGCTGGACTTTGTTATGGACCTCAGACTTACCTTGGTATCTGAGCAGGACCGATCCAGGCTGAACCCTCAGACTGTGGAAGTGGATAGAGATCTGATTGCTGTGGCTTTGTAGCACCAAGCCCCTCATCAGGACCGACTCGTTAGCCAGCATCGTGCTCTCCTCGTGGCCCACATCTTCAAACACCACCTTGTCGCCCTCAGACAGATTCACATTCATCACCTGTGAGAAACGGCAACAGAATAAAGATAAAATCACTTTAGATTATTTCTAAAGATCCGTCTGCGTCAGAAGAAAACCCAGAGTCTCTGTTCTAACTCTGGTCCAGCTGGCTTCCGGTTCTTCATCAGTCCCTGGGCAGATTTTTGTGGGGCACAACAGGATTTTGCTGTGACAAACTGTTCCCATTAGAATGGTTTATATTTAAGTGATGTCTACATGAACACCAAGAYCCAAGGTTTCCAGCAAAGCACTGCATTAGAACCAGATACTGTATGGTTCTCTTTTTGTTCTGGTTAAGTGATGTTTGTCGCATGAATAAATGAAGCATAAAGAGGTCAGTTTGTCACAAAGAGCTGCAGTAAAAACCTGAAAGATTGATACTGAAGACCCAGGGCTGCAGACTCAAAGAACAGAGGAAGATAAAACGGACTGAATTAAATGAACCCAGAAACAAAATGCTACTTTTAAAGGGATCCCCGATTAATTGTAACATTAGATTTTATTTAAGAAACATTTATTTTAACTGTAAAATAAAGACTGTAAAATACTGTAGGATTATTAGTTTTTATAATTTTTAAACTAAAACTTTAAAAATAT